TCCTGCCCAGGTTCCGCCTCGAGACGGCGGTGCTTCATCCAGAAAGTCCTCTCCTTAATTCTTTTAGGTCAAAATGACTTATATACCAGAAGATGGGCACCAGAGGTGGGCCGGGAAGGGCAGCACCCACCAGGGCGCGCATGGCCCTCCTCTGGTACGCACACTAGTAGAAAAAGGCCCATTAGTCCCGGTTCCCAAACAGGGACTAAAGGGTCGGTACTAAAGGCCCCCCCTTAGTCCCGGTTGTGTTACGAATCGGGACTAAAGGCTACCAACCGAGACTAAAGGAATTTCTTTTGAAAATTTGTTTTTCTGATTTTTTTTCTTATTTTCAAATTTCTGAATTATTTGACAATTCAATCTCTAATCACCCGTCATCACTGCTCATTTATGAACCACTCATTCCAAATCGTCTAACTTCCCGACCGGTCACCCATCCTCTCACTACTCTAGTCTAAAAACGCTTAAGTTTCAAGTTCTATTCCCCCTAGTTTCTAAGTCTGCACTTGTTGTTTTCCTCACAATGCTAAGCTATCAATCCTATTAACCCTTAGGAGTTGAACTTGAGCATTAAGCACCGTCTGATTTTGAAACTATTATTCTAAAAAACAACAATTATTTATTAACACTAATATTTTTTTAATAAGTAGTTTGACCATAGTTTGACCAGATTTGAAAATAGTTTGTCCACACTTTGACCAGATTTGACCATAGTTTGACCACAGTTTGACCAAAAGTCAAAAAAACTAACAATAATTATTTATTAACACTAATATTTCTTGAATAAGTAGTTTGACCATAGTTTGACCACATTTGACCATTGTTTGACCAGATTTGACCATAGTTTGACTACAGTTTGACCAAAAGTCAAAAAACTAAAAATAATTAATTATTAACAATAATATTTTTTGAATAAGTAGTTTGACCATAGTTTGACTAGATTTAACAAAAAGTCATAAAACTGAAATTTGAGCATATCTTTTTTTCCTTTCATAATTTGAGGATTTTAAAAATTTGCAAACAGGCCTACGGCCGTCAAAATCATATGCGGATTTTCGTGCTGATTTTATGATATATTATCCATTTTTTCCGACATCGTATGCAAAAGATATGGTTGTTACTTTTTCATAACACTTTTTTGCAAAACATGTCCAAATTTAAGTTTTTAAATTTTCCTAACTAGTAGATGTAGTAACATAACTACATCTCGAAGGATTTTAATTTTTGAAGTTTTTTATCATTTTCTTTTGTTTTTTTACAAAACTGAAAAGGCGATACGCCGGGGGGGGGGGGTGGTAGAGTTTGAACCTTTAGTCCTGGTTTGAGACACGAACCGGGACTAAGGGGCATCGCACCCTTTAGCCCCGGTTCCTGTCTCAAACCGGGACTAAAGGTCTAACGTTTAGTCTCGGTTTGAGACACGAACTGGGACTAAAGGCCATCACACCCTTTAGTCCCGGTCCGTGTCTCAAACCGGGATTAAAGGTCCCATTTGAACCGGGACTAATGCCTTCCCGACGCCTTAGCCGCTTGAGCCGGGACTAATGTTCACATTAGTCCCGGTTCGTCATGCAACCGGGACTAATGTGTACATTGAGCTATGACCAAAGCCCTGTTTTCTACTAGTGTTATTTGCTCCAATATTTATTAAATATTCCATAAAAAATCCTCGTGGAGTTTCATCTCATTTGGAGTTGTGCAGAATAGGTAGCTTGACGTAGCCTTTTCATGTCCAGATTTCCAGCTGTCAGAATTCTCCCCCTTTGTGTATACCTTGCATATTATGAGAGAAAAGGCATTAGAACTACTCAAAAAGCATTATTATACAATAAAGCAACATAAATAACAGTAGGAAATATGATGCAAAATGGACGTATCAATAAGCTTGACCGCTTGGTGACGCGATTCTTTCGGTGCAACTTGATAGCGGGCACAGATGCAAACACTCAACATAATATCAGGTCTGGAAGCACATAGGTAAACAAGAGAACCAATCATCAAACGATAAGCCTTCTGATCGTAATCCCTACTGTACACATCTGCGTCCAGCTTACCATTCATGGGCATTGGATTTTTGTAGCCCTTCATTTTGGAATCTTGCATTTTGAACTTCTTCAGACATTCTTTCAGATATTTCTCCTAAAAGAGCCTTACGAACCGGGACAACAGAACATGCACTAAAAGAGGCTTATGAACCAGGACTATAGCCCGTTTCTGCATTAGTGTGCAGTTGAGGTCCCGCACCGGGCCTACTGCTTTCTTCAGCTTTTTTCATTCTCATCATCCAATTGGTCCTCTCCATTCTCAGTTGCTCAACCTCCGTGCTTTTCTTTAATTTTTTATATTTATCTTTTTTATACAAACTTTATGCACATATATACTATATCTATACAAAATTAGAATGCTATGTTCTATATTGTCTCATGGTTTCTTCTCTATTTTCTCTCACACTCGCAATAATCATTTGTTTTCACACATCCTCTTAGAGCATCTATAGCCGGGTGCCTCAAACCCCGCTCAAACTACCGGGTCGATGGCCTGGCAAAAAAAAGAGCGGCCCAGACGGGTAGTATGGACCTACGAAGCTTGATGAAACGATTCAAGAAAAAAAGAGCCAAGCGGCCATTAAAGAGAAATGATAAAAATAGAAAAAAATAACAATTTATTTAAAAAAGAATGAAAATTTAAAACTCTTTTTCATTGAAGAGGGCTATCAGCGTACTTGAACGAGCTGAACTTGACACTCCATGAGCAATCATCAGTTGATGAAATGTAATCTAGTGTCAAGCTACCTCGTTCACACAGCGATAATTGATGGACCTAATGTAGCAACGAAGAAGCTTACCGTTGTCTGCCGACACGGCTATTTAAGCCGGACGTCGCGTCTAGAACGCCGAGGTGAGACTAAACCACTGGCTATCTTTGCCGAGTTCATTCTTATCGGTGAACTTCAGATTCTGCTGAGTTGTTTTTGTTCGTGGAGTCGTTTTTCGTTGGAACCAGGCAAAGTCACAGCTCCGCCGAGTCCAATTTTGAATCAAACTCGGCAGAAAAAGGTTTCCGTGTTCCTGATAGAATGAACTCGGCAAAACCAGATTCTAGTAGCGACGTACGGCACCTACCGCTGCCATGGAACGAAAGAGAAAGTAGCATCCAAAGTGCATCTTGGCACTTGCACAAATGTAGTACGGACAAGGGAATAATTTGCTTTGCGTGATGATGAAGTTAACCTTTTCTTTACTTATTTTGGCGTGATGATGAAAGTAACTTAGTACGAACCAGGGACAGGGAATAATTTGCTTTGGGTGATGATGAAAAGTTCCCAACTATATCCGCCAGGCAACTATATCTTGGGAGAACACCAATGGCAATGGCGACCATGGATCCGCTGCTGCTGGCAGCCTCATTCTCTGTTCCCCGGTAGCACTGCGCCTTCTTCTGGACGGGGAAGGTCCGGCCGTGTGGGCAGACGGGGTGCCAACTCCAGCATTCCTTGAGTTGCTCCAGCATGGGGGCACCAACGACGAGGAGGCCGTTGGCATGGCGACGTCGCTGCTTTGTTGGCTATGCCCAGGAGGAGGAAGAAGACTCACGCACACAGCACACGCACGGGAGAAGAACACACAGAGTCTGGTGCATACGCACTTGTGCTTATCTCTTGTTCTCTCTTGACGAAATAAACAACATGATTACAGAGTTTTATATTATAGCTCACACACACGGACGCCCAAGCCTAACAGCCTGATCCACTAATACTGCTCCACTAACCGCACTAGCATGCACAGCTTGAGTCACTTCCAAGTCGCTGGAGATGAGGTCACTTGGCGCATGCCGCAACTAACTGCGCCCGCTTATATCTCCACGTCTATATCCTCTCTGACTTGGCCGCTTGGACTCCACGCATAGCTGATTCATGCCGTTACCATATTCATGCAGATTAGATCAACCCAACGGCACACACACTAGTGCCATTGCTACACATGCATGGTGCCATGCGACACTCACAACTTGGCACGACAAATCTTGCCATGCACACTACTCTCTAATCTGCATGACTTATTTTGAATCAGCTAACACCCTATTAGCTTGGACGACCCAACTAAATGCATAGAGAAAAAAACTTAAACATGATGAATAGCTAATCAACAAGGTTAACTCCAACAATGTTAGCATAAGCCGTGTGCGTGCATGTGTGCGTGTGTGTGGCGCGTCTGTGCACGTGTGCATTCGGTTAGTTTGTTAGCTAGCTACATACGTGGAGAGCTGCATGCCTGCACGCACTAGGGGCCGTTGCTAGCTGTTGGAGGCAGCCGCGTCGTATGCGTTTGTGCGCGTCGTGCGCGCGGCCGGAGCATGCGGATCGAGGGCGAGCGAGCTGGGCAGCGTGCGTACGTGCGCATGTGTTTAGTTCTTGTATAAATCCCTTCGTGTACTGCTCGGTGTGCGACTCTGAGTTGCCGAGCATGTAGACATTGTAAAGACAAAGAAGATTAGGGTGTGCGTGCGCCCACGGCGGCGTTCCGGCCGGGAAAATCCTTGTATACACTGTGTTCATCTCCTTCCTTCTTTCTTGTTCGAGCGAGTGAGCTGAGAGAGAGAGAGCAGCTAGGCCAGGCTTGGCAACAACACAAGCTTCAAATCCACCGTCGCTCTCGCCCTCGCCCTCGCTCCTAGAGGGCGTCACCGCTGAAGGGGACACCGCGTTGCATGTGGTGGCCACCAATGGAGATGGCGCCAGATACCTGAGTTGTGCCAGCTTCGTCCACGGAAAGGCCAGGCACCTCCTCTACAAGGTCAACAGCCACGGCGACACTCCCCTCCACTGCGCCGCCAGGGCCGGGAGATCTTCCGTGGTCTCCCACCTCGTCGCCCTAGTTCAAGGCGATGACGACGGTGCCGGACACCGGCTCAGGGAGCTCGTGAGGACGGAGAATGGGTGCAATCAGACGGCCCTGCACGAGGCTGTCCGCATTGGGAGCGACCACATCGTTGAGCTGCTAATGGCGGCCGACTCGGAATTGGCTTGTTTTCCCAAGGACGGCGCCACTTCGCCGTTGTACCTCGCCGTCTTGCATGATCGGCCCGACATTGCACAAACACTGTATGAGAAGAGCGGTGGGCATCTCTCGTATTCTGGACCCGATGGGCAAAATGCATTGCATGCTGCTGCTCTTCGTAGCCAAGGTAACATATCAATTAGGGTATTCCTCCCACATTACATTTGTCTAGGCTCCTTATTAAGTCCATCCCTGCAAAATTAGTTGTTGGGCCTGTTTCTCCGTCCACTAATTAGAAGAACTACTAGAAATGCGTGTTCTGCCAGGCCTGTATGCTGTGAACCGTTTCGTTTGCTCCATTTTTTACAATTTTGCTTCGGTGCATCCCCTAAACACATTGATGGCTGAGATCTCTCTGTACCTCTTCATAATAAATGATAGAATAGTCCCTTCACCCACACCGATACGCAGCCCGTGTACATATATGCGGCGCCCTTTTTTTCCTCGCGGCGCCCTCCGCTGTTTTTCACTTTCTTTTAAAAGAAAAAATAAATTTATCAGCGCCCTTAGCTGTTTTTCACTTTCTTAAAAGAAAAAAAGAATGCATGTAACGTGAATCAAACTCAAGACCTCTTGTCTTATTTTCTGAAATTATTTGGATTGCTTTTTGAAATTTTTCCTGCTTCTCCTTATGCTGTGAACTGTTTCGTTTTTTCACTTGTTTTCTTTCTTTCTTTCTTTTTCTCCTTTTGTTTATACTTCAAATATTCTAAATACATATATTACAAAAAACACCCCCAAAAACACATTTGAAAAATGTTAAATAGAGACTAAAAAATGTTGAACAAGTATTAAAAATGTTCAACACGTATTTAAAAAATGTTGAATAAGTACTGAAAATGTAGAAACCGGTAAATGAAAATTTTGAACAAGTATTAAAAAATGTTGAAAGAGTATTTGAGAAATGTTGAACAAGTATTTGAAATAATCTAAAACAAGTATTTGAAAATATTTTAAACAAAGTATTTCAATAAATATTGATTATGTATATAAAATATGTTGAACAATTATTTTAAAAATGTTGAACAATTATTTGAAAAATGTTCTAGTACTTGAAAAATGTTGAACAAAGTATTTGATAAATATTGGACAAAGTATTTGAAAAAAATGCTGAAGTATTTGAAGAAAATGTTGATCATGTATTTCAACAATGTTGAAAAGGTATTTGAAAAAATGTTGAAGTATTTTTAAAATGCTGACCATGTATATAAGAATGTGGAATGGAAATAAAAAAGAAATAAAAATAAAAACAAAAAATGAAACAAAAAATCAATGAAAAAGAAAAAGGAAAAGGAAAATTAAAAAAATTGAGAAGAAAAAACAGAGAATCGGAAGAAAACAAAAAAACATGCTTTTCTCCTTATAGTAGTTCACGGCCTGCTTATTGAGTATGAACTTGCTTCTAGCGTAGTGGCAACGCTGCTGCGTCCCAATCGGCTAATCTCGAGATAGACCCCCCGGGCGGGAACACTTCCCTATTTTGCCTATTTCATTAAGAAATCGCAAAATGGGACAGCCCGATAGCTGTAGATGCTTCAGCGAGGGAACTTTTTTTTAACTATTTCACTAAAAAAATCACAAAATGGGCCGGCCCAATAGCTGTAGATGCTTCAACGAGAGGAACTTTGTAGCTCGATTAAGGCGATTAATATACGGGAGCTCCTGTTCGGCGCCTTAAGCGCCCGAACAGGTAGCTGGCGCCTGCAGCGCGCCCACGTCGTCACCTCATGGCGCGGTCCACGACGAACGCACAACATAGTGAAAAAAAGGTGAGGCTACCAGCAATCGAACTCGCGCCACGCCAGGACAACCAAGGAAGTGCTTTGGTAACCACCAGAGCTGTTAAGCACTAGTGATTTGTTGGAACGCGAAACGTTAAAGAACCATTGTATCCGCACTATTTATTAGATTTTAAATTATCTGAAAACATATTGTAAAAAGTGGTTTTTTTACGAAAAAGAGTTCAACACATTTCGAAAAAAGCTTACCAATTTGAAAAAAAAAGTTCATTACTTTTTTGAAAAGTTCATCAACATTTAAAAAAGTTCATCGATTTTGAAAAAGAGTTCATTGATTTGAAAAAAAGTTCATAGATTTGGAAAAAGTTCATCGTTTTTTTAAAAAGTTCACCCAATTTCAGAAATGTTCATCAAAATTGAAAAGAGTTCACAGATTTTCAAAAAAAATCAAGAAATTTGAAAAAAGTTCATCGATTTGGAAAAAGTTCATCAAATTTGAAAAAGTTCATCCATTTTTAAAAAAAGTTCATCCAGTTTTTGAAAAATGTTCACAAAGTTGAAAAAAAGTGCAGAAATTTAAAAAAAGTTCATAGAATTTTAAAAAAGGTCATCAAATTTCAAAAGAAAGTTCATTCAATTTAAAATAAGTTCATCAATTCTGGAAAAAGTTCATCCATTCTGAAAAAAGTTCATCGAATTTGAAAATAAGTTCATCGATTCTAGAAAAAGTTCATCGATCTAAAAAAGTTCATCGAATTAAAAAAACCACAAACTAAAGAAAACAAAGAAAGATGAGAAAAAAAAGAAAAAAAGAAACTAAACCCAAGAACGACGTAAAAAAGAGGAAAACCAGCTATAATTTCACTCGCGGGCGGGTGTCCTTGTGGCTATTGCCGTGCGCTTGCAACAAAGGGGTCGCTTGTTCGATTCCCCTCGCTTGTTCAATGGGTCCTTTTATCACTATTTCTTTTTATTTTTTCTTATATTTAGTTTTTTCAAAAATTCTCACGCTTGTAAAGTTTTGTGCAAAATTTAAGAAATGTTCGCTTTTTAAATTTTGTTCATAAAGTAAAAATATTTGTAGTTTAAAAATGTACAAAATGTCATAGCAGGATCATAATCTAGAAAGAACAAACAAAATTTTGAACATAACCATTTTTTGAAAAACACTATGAAGTTTGATATTTCAAGCAAAAATCAGGAAATATGAACAAAAAATTGAAACCAAATTATTTTGAGTTTCCGTGAACATTTTTTGAATTTGTGTAGAAAATAAATTAAATAGAGGATTATTTTCGAAATTCCAAATAAATTTTGAGAGCACAGCCATTATTGAAAAATGCAGAAATGTGGAAATCACAAAATCTTGCCATGGTGGCTTGGAATATTGATACAAGACCCAAGAAAAAAATAGGTCCATGTGAACGATGTCTCAAAAAGTACTTTGAGACGGAACCTCCGCTCAACTGGAACGCCCTACCTGAACTTTTTTCCATTTAAATTCCTGAACATTTATTGAATTCACAAATATTGTTTTCAAATTCATGAACTTACTGCCATATCCAGGAACTCTTTTCAATGTTTAGAAACGTTTTATAAAATCCTGCAATTGTATTCAAATTCATAAACATTCTTTTTCTAAATTGATAAACTTTTTTCTAATCGGTGAATGCTTCGTCCGGCCCAACGGCCACCCGAGGGAAGCAATTTTACTGCCCGAATGGACATGGCCTGGGCGTATTTTTTTCTATTCTATTTTTTCACTTTAAACTTTGTTATTCATTTTAAACCTTTTGAACTTTATGATTCATTTTAAACCTGTTTAAAACGAATTATTAATTTGAAACCTTTTTGAACATTATTATTAATTCTAAACCTTTTTGGAATTTATTATTCATTTTAAACCTTTCTTAACTTTATTATTCATTTCCAAAAATATTCAAATATTTTTTTCAAACTATAAAGATGTTCCCATTTTTGAAAAAAATTATAATAAATTTTATAAATGGATTTGTTTTAAAAATGTTGATTTGTTTTTTACATATGTGGTTCGCAGTTTGTGTAAACTTAAATATTTCGGAATTTATTAACAATTTTGGAAAAGGTGCTCATGTTTATAAATTTTTTATACACAATTTGGATTTCCACAATTATTTATAAATTTCAAGAAATAATTCCAATATAAGAAAATGTTCGTGTTGATTGACAATGACAGAAATTGCAAATAACAAAAGTCTTAACCTACCGGCCCACCCGAACCAGGACCTTTGAACATGATGTGTTTCTTGACATGCGTAAAATGAATAAAATTTTGCCAGCATGTGGGCATGCTCATGGCAGGCCTCCATGCAAAATTTGAAAGAATTCAGACAACGTACGCACGTTGCGTCTCGTTCGGCTAGTGTTCTGTGATTTTTTCGGCGGCCAAAACCTATATAATGCATAAAATGTCATAACTCAATGAAATTTATCATGGATACTTGGCATGGTTGTGCTAATGTGTGGGAAAATTTGCGTCCATTTTATTAAAGTGAAAAAGTGCATACAGACATGCCCACCGACCTACGCGAACCACCATCTTTGAACATGGTGTGCTTCTTGCCATGCATGACATCACACCAAATTTTACCAGCATGTGGGCATGCTCATGGAAGGCTGCCACGCAAAATTTGAAGGAATTCAGAAACCAAATGCACGGTGCGTCACGTTCGGCTAGTGTTTTGAGTTCTTTCAACAGGAAATCCTAGAAATTACGTAAAATGTCAGAACTCAATGAAATTTATCATGGATGCTTTGCATGGTAATCCTAGTGTGTGGAAAAAAATTGGGATCCATTTTATTGATGTGAAAAAAGTGCATCCAGGCTTTCCCTACTGGCCTACCTGAACCATCACCTTTGAACATGGTGTGCTTCTTGCCATGCATGAAATGTCACCAAAGTTTCCAGCATGTGGACAGCCTCCATGCAAAAATTGAAGGAATTCGGACACCGAACGCATGTGGACAGGATAGTGTTTTAGGGTTTTTTTCGCCGAGAAAACTCGAACTCAATAAAATTTATTATGGATGTAGGGCATGGTGTTGCTAGTATGTGGAAAAAATTGGATCCATTACATTGATCTGAGCTTTTTTTTAAAAAGAAAAGGAACAAAAAACGAAAAAAACCAAGGAAAACAAAAAAGAATAATAAACCGGTCGCTGATTGATATGTTTTCATTTTTATATTTCTATTTAATAGATGTTCATAAATTTTAAAAGTGGTCGGTTTTTTATGTGAGCATGTTTCTATTTAAAAGAAAAACCAACAAACATTTTGTTTAAACTAACAATTTTTTATTTAATCGATGTTCAGATTTAATTATATTGATGTGACCATTTTTCTATTTAAAAGAGCTATTTTTTGACATATATGTACATTTTTTTTAAAATCTGAATCTTTATTTTATGAATAAATTTTTAAAAAAGGAAGCATTTTTTGAAATTTTGAACCAAAATTTCATAAGTATGAGCATTTTTTGGAAAACAAAAAAGAAAAAATGAAAAATGAAAAAAAAACAAAGAAGAAATAGTGATAAAAGGACCGGTTCAACAATGGGCCGTCCTAGCCGCGAACCGAAGTACAAGAAAAGAAGAAAGAAATAGGCACAAGCATACTAGGATGTCCTAGTTTGTTAGTGTAGTTCTCTTTAGAGCAAGAGGCCTTGAGTATGATTCGCTTGCTCTATTTTTTTAGTTTGATAAAAAGTGGGTACGATGCCTCGTAGTATACGGTTTCATGAAAGGGTCATACTGCCCTTATACGGTTTTGGGGGGTGGGGGGGGGGGGCTCTACCGAAGCAGGCGGGAAACACCTTTCCTTCGGAAAAAACATGCCCATGCGTTGAAACAGGAGAAAACAAAAATAGCTAGCTACATAACATGTTGCATAGATGAGATTGTGCGTGTGGCAGATCCTGTCACCTCGTACTCGTAGTATACCTACCCACCGCCGTCAGTGCGCTTGACGGCCATATCTTTAGTGCACGTGATTTTTTTCCAACAAACAAACATCAAACGTCTCAAGATAATCCAAGTTTCCCTTTATCCTTTAAGTGAAAGAAGTTTTTTCCTCTCTTTGTTTCTCTCAAGCATCATATTTTCGTTACCGCGGGTTTTCACCTCATAGTTTTGGGATGTTTTTCATAAGCTCATAAAAAGCATATCTTTTGGTTGTTGAGTTGTCAACAACTATGTTCAAGCCATCCTTGTTAGGATGCCCTTTCAAGTTCCTTGTCGTAGGAGGTGTTGTCTTCTTCTCCATTCAATTGGTTCCAAGTATCTACCTTCCATTAAATTGTTTTGGGAGCATCATGTTCTCCCTTTATTTTGAAGTTCTTTCAATCTCGTCAACTTTATGTTGGATCCCTTGTTTCTCTTTTCAACCGGAGTGTTGTCCAAGTTCTCTCTTGTTCCCTATGGTCTTTTTTCATGTCTTTCAACTTCCAAGGTTCTTTGGTATCTCTACTTTGTCAATGATGCAACTATATAACCCCACAAAAAATGATGCAACTATATAGCTAAACCTCTTCCTCTTTCTCTTTTGGTGTTTGGCAGCCATGACAGAAATGCTACTGGAATGGAACATTGGCCTTACAGCGCAAAAGGACCGAAATGGGAGCACGCTCCTTCACTTTGCAACATCAATTCTACACGCAAGAGGTGTACACTTCTGGATCTTCCGTCATTGGTATACATGGTTTCATGGTTTTTGGCATTCAAGCATGCCATTCTATCCTGTGCTGCAAGTTATCTTCCATCCTTGGTTCCCATGGAATCATAGTACTTGGCATTCAGGCATGCCGTTTGATCCAGTGCTGCAAGCTAACCCAACTCCGATATATCAGTCAGATGGTCAGGGACTATTCCCTATACACATTGCTGCTTCCATAGGTGTGAACAAGGCCATTGCCAAATTTTTAGACAAGTGCCCCAACATTGCTGGTGTGCGCAATATGAAGGGAAGAACTTTCCTTCATGTCGCTGTCGAAAAGAAGAAATGGAACACAGTCGCACTTGGTTGCAAACTCCATCGTTATCATGGATTTTGAATATGCAAGACAATGAAGGAAATACTGCACTACACCTAAGTGTAATGCTTGGGTATCAGGACATCTTCTGTTTGCTCCTGGAGAATCCTAAAGTGCGGCTAAATCTAACAAATAAAAAGGGGGAAACTCCTCTAGATCTATCACAGAGTAAGATTCGCGCTGGATGTTTTTGTGCATGGGTAATGTACTTTCTTTCCTTTCATTTCAGCCTTAATTTTCTCCCACAAAGGCAAATGTAGTAGCACTAGTTCATATGGATGACACAAATTTCATATTTGCTTTTTGCAGAGCCCCAGATTTGTGATGAATGCTGCTTTAATATACTGTCACGCTAAACATGGCAATCGCCGATTGGATCACTTTGAAGAACAATACATTCAAGCAGAAGATGAAGAGAAAGAATCAGACAAACTGACAGCTTTGACTCAAACATTGGGCATTGGGTCAGTGCTAATGGCAACTGTGGCATTTACTGCAACTTTCACTCCACCAGGGGATTACAGTGACAATGGCACACCGAATCTTTCTAGGAGGTATGTCTTTGATGCATGCATCGCAGCCAACTCGCTGGCATTCGGGTGCTCTGGTTTAACTACTATCAACCTCATGTACTCTGGGACAGCTATCGTCGACGTGCCTTTGCGCAGCAAACACTTCGACGTAGCTGTAGTCTTCGCATTTTGTTCGGTCACAAGTTTGGCTACGGCCTTTGTGCTAGGCCTATATGTGGTGTTGGACCCATTTGCCCATATGACTTCAATTGCAGTGTGTGTGGTGGCTTCTCTTTTGTGTCTGTGTGGATACATAGACCCCCTGCAAGGACAAGCTGTAGCTAGAGCTTTATTTCGTCGAATGGGTTATCCAGCACTGGTGATATCCGCACGCATTCTCATCATCCGGACAACGATGGTGTTTTGGCCCTTGATAGCAAGCTTCATTTGGGCAGCAATCTCAGGAAAAGATCGTCACAAGAAAATGACCTGAACATGTATGGTGGCATAAGAGAGGTATTGCCAGTCCAGTACTTGGTAATCTTCAACTTGTGTGGAATTTCTCCAAGATAATTTTCCATCAGTTTTGGTGCCCTGTCAATCAGTTCTTGAGGATGCCAAAAGTCTTGTTCTATTTTGTACTAAATTGTCGTTTTGATGGCTTTGATTCTTGAAGAAACCTTTCAGAAACTACGTCCATTGCAATGTGTTGCACTTATTCCAATCGATTCTGTATACAAGTTTGGGCAACATGTATGTAGAAAAAGAAAATGCTTGTTGTTGCCTTTCCTCATCATACTTAATTTCACCATATAAGTACTGATCGATTTGACTATATATGGATGTATCTAGTGCAATGAAAAAAATAGCATGCCATAAGATTTAGGGCCGCCCTTCTCCAAATACTATACAAGTTATAGTGTGCTATATTTCAAATAGCGACATAAAAATGTCAAATATATTGTGGTGTCTCTGCACTCGGTCACGAGTTGGCGGGAAATTGGTGACGAGTTGGCTAGGTTAGGTTGTATGCATTGCGTTTGTGTCTAAGAGAGTGAGTGTGAGTTCGGTCGATGCGATGTGGTGATGGGTAATGGGTTGTTGTGTGGTACACGGTAAAATGCTACAACATTATTTCGTTTAGCGTTAAAATAGCATGCTATAGCGCGAATAGCGCCATAGCGAGCAAATTAGCAAAAATGTAACGTGGCCATTCCAAATATGCTATAGCGATGCTATAACGTCGAAATAGTGTGCTATTATTTTTCATTGATCTAGTGTGAAGTGATATTTAACTAAATGCTAACATGCATGCTAAGACATCCAGTTACCAAAATCAACGTGATGGTTTTTTATATGGAATTCACAACAAGACAACTAACTTGTGCTATGTGAAACAGAGAAGAGACGTTTTGTGATTCATAACATTGATCCCCCTCCTTTTTTGGACTTCAAAAACAAAAGCATACAGATGTATTAGTACATTAAAGCATAGCAGTAGTCTGAAGGTGAAATTCCATATTTCTAAATTGTTTATGAAAATCTACCTTGATCATCACGATGACACAATGAGATGCACCAAGTAGAGTCTGTTCAGACGCCACACCCTGAAACAGACAGATATGTTGCAACATGAGCCTGTTCAGAATGTAGAGCTTGGATCTGAAGCAAAGCATGGCTATAGCATATTTGGAATGGTACGGCCGGTCTCAAACAGTATCAGCTATTTGAAATTCTTGGGACTTCCAAACATTAACAATGCCCAGCGCCTCTCTTTCAATGGAGTTCCGACGCCATCCCAAGTCAGTGGCCAGCCTCTGTGAAGATTGCATACGCCATCAAATTCATCAATCTGGCTGAAGATGCATATTTGTACCACTGGGCCGGGACTGTGCACGAATCAAATTTCCTACATACATACACAGTACATCCTTTGTTATTTTTCCCGCTCGTTGTTTTGTTTTGCTCATCTTTCTCTCTGGTCAATAAAACACCCCCGTATTTCCCAAAAAAAAGTAAAAAACACTAGGCAGCACCTCGTCATCCAGAGAAGAAAACCAGATCGGGTTTTTCCAAATAAAAAAATGTACATTAAAACTGTTAAAAATCATGAATTTCAATAAATAAAATTCGTCAATTGGAACAATATTCATGAATTTGGAAAATGTTCGTGAATTTAAAGTGTTCCCGAACTTACAAAATGCGTGCAGATTTCAAAATATCTTAGATTTTAAAAAGTCCTTGATTTAAAAAAATGTTCATGAGTTTAGAAATTGTTCGTGGATGATTTTCATAAAGACTTCCTGAATTTTAATATTTTAAAACTAGAAAAGGTAAGTATAAACAAATAGAAAAATGCAAAAGAAACAAAAAGAAAAAAGAAAGAAAACCGAGAAAAAAAGAAAAAAATAACAGAGAAAAACCAAAGAAAAAACACAATGCATTCACATGTGCCAGCCTGTTTGTCCTAGGGGTGTGCGCCGAGGTAACCTAGCTAGTATTTGAGTATTCTGCGATGGCACGCTCCGCTAGGGCGTTGCCGGGAGAGCTTCTTCCATCCGTGACGGTGGGGATTTGTTTGGAAACCCAATCTAATGGCGAAAATGCAAGTGCCCTGAGAGGCCTTCATCTTGGTCCAGAATGTAACAATGGGATGCCACGATGGCACGCGCTGCTGGGAGAGCTTCGATCCCTAATTTTTTTAAAGTGCATTTTCGCCAGCCAGAGCGTTCACGACAACTTACTTGTGGTCCTGCTCGACAGCCGCACCAGCTCAAGACCCCGTGGGCCATGCTCAAGCTTGACATCGTGTGGGTGTTCACTCCCACTCCTAGGAGGGGAGGTGGTCGAGGCATTAGCCGAGCAACGAATGGTGCCGTCACCGATGGATTGGATGACACATGCACAGTCTATTTTGGTCAGAGTCACGACAACGATCCTTCCGCAGGTTCACCTACGGAAACCTTATTACGAATTCTCCTTCCACTTAATGATAAGGTTCAATGGACGTCTTGCCCGTCTTCTGGCCTAGTATCCCTCGAACTCTCCATCACCTGTGTCGGCCAACGACGATCCGCCATGCAGAGCGAGCTTTGATGGCAGACCAAGGTATTACTTCTGGTCGTGGGGAAGGTTTTACGTGGACTCCATCGCAATCACCGGAGGACAGATTGGATCCCTAGACAACCTTAGGGGGAAACGGCAATAAACATAGTTTTGTTCAACACCATGACACGTTCCAAATTGTTTTTTTTTTAAGATTTGGAGGACAGATTGTATCCCCAGGCACATCGTGGGCTTTCAAGTCCAGCCCAGTTGTGGGCTCCTGACCTCCTCACTTTACGGCCTGCATTGAGGTCTGGATATCGAGATGACGACCAGCCGCCGCCGCGGCGTCGTTGGACGACGACCACCTGATGTTGGAGATCCTTCTCCGCCTCCCGGCGCCTCACTAGTCAGAAACCGACCACGTCAGAGGGAGCGAGGAAGATTGACATCCTTCTCCCTGCCAAGGTTTGATTCGAACGAACCCAATCCGGAAAATATTCTGTAGAGCTTAGGCTCAGGTGCACCCTCTTATCTAGCCATCCATCTCTGCATCGCGATTCGCGCAAGAACTTTTCTCTTTTTTGTTTCTTCCAAATAAAACAACATATAAACTTCACACTTTGCAGCACAACAAAACATTCTAACTAGAATGTGGGAAAAAACTTTCAGATTTTTTCGTGCATCATAAGTACTAAAAATAACATTTTTGAATAAAGAAAATCTCATTTTGTATATTTATGTTGGTCAAAAAAATCTGTAAGTTTTTTCTCTCATCGTAGTAAGAATGTTTTGCTATCTTGCAAAGTTAGATGTCCATATGTTGTTTTATTTGGAAGCAACAAAAAAGAGAAATTTGTACGCTGTAAGTTAGTTGTCTAGCACGGATCTCAAAGCTATATTGAAGGGTATGGATAGAGGGTGTCCATGAGCCTAAGCTCTAAAAAATCCGCGTCCAACCCAATCCCACTTGACATTCCCTTAGAGCATCTCGAGCAGTCCCCCCAAAAAGGCCCCTAGAGCCACTTTTTCACCGCCGGCGGATTAAGAAAGTCCCACTCAAGTCACGCCCCGACGAGCTCGATTAGCCCCAGATTTGGTCAGAAATTGAGCCGGCGACCCCGAGGCAAACCCAAAGAGCTGGGGGCACCCCGGAGGGCTATTTTCAGCGCTTTGCCGCCGCTGGCTCACCTGCCAGCGTCTCTCTAATCTCTCCTCCTTTTCCCTCCCTGGCCCATTCACGTACTTGCTGTGGCCACGCCAAGCCAAGGTGACACGGAGCAAAGCAAGAGGAGAGGCATTCGCGGCCGCGCCATGGGGGTGCTGCTGAGCACGCAGAGCATGGCGGCGGAGGTGGAGGAGATGCGGGCGGCGCTGCGGCTCGGCGTTGGCGGCCCCGCGTGGAGGAGATGCGGCTCGGCTTTGGCGGCCAAGCGCGCCACGGCGACGCGCGTCATGTGCGTC